CTGGATCTACGCCCGTTTTGTTCTAACAGCTCTTGGTCAGCCGACCGTCCCCAGGAATCATGCTACATTTCAGATGGCAAGCGCCCGAAGTGCGGACAACCCGATTCGCTGTTTCATCGCCAGTGGCTCTGTAATGACCATGAGGTAGCCGAGGCCCGCAGCGAAGCTTTAGCCCCAGAGATCATCGAAGCAGCACGCACTAGTGAGCCTGATGCTAAACTTTTTCTGGGCTCGTTTGGTGATGGCCCAGCCCGATGGTGACTCCTTCCCCCCTCCTGCGGCGAGGACCGACCCCCTCTTCCAGGATCCCGATGGGCGGACTTAGCGAGAGCTGCGACCTAGTGGTCGACGGCTCTGCGACCCAATACCCCATTCTAGAACTCAGCCGTGCTGCTTTCGCGGGCGTTTATCTGGAACCAGGGGGGACTTACCAGCTTCGGAACCGAGCTCAATCAAACGCCGCAGGCGGCTGAAAACCTCGGTCTTGCCACGGCCTGTGCTTTCAGCTCGGACATGTGTTCCCCATCTAGTGATTGCATGGGGGCGGCTCGCCTGCGCAATTTGTCGGATGCGGCCCAACTCTGCCCGAAGGAGATGTTTGCAGGCTTCCGCCGCGCCGCCCAGCAGGGGCATGGCTTCGACGTCCATCCTCAGCCTGCACCTGCTGATCTGGGGATGTTGGATAGGAAGGTGCAGACCATTCGCTCGTGTGCTAAGATGTTTCGACGGGTGCTGCCGCTCTTTCCTAAGCTGCAGTTTGAGCGACGCCTTCCAGAGCAGCGCTTGCCTCGTGTGCCGCCTCCCCCTGTCTGGCATGAATGGGAGGAGCTCGAGGGTGAGCAAATTGCCCACCGCTGCAGCAAATGTTATATGATTTCGTTCGGCGGCGAGTCCCGACCTATGAACGGTTGTGCTGGGCTTCCACCGCTCTCAAGCGCTTGTCGAGTGCTGAGAGCGAGAGGCGCCACAAGTTGGGATTTACAACGCTGAGCAAATCTCTGAAGCCGTTGATTTTCTGCTACGCCTGCGGTGCATCACCAGCAGGCGATGTTACCTTCTTGCCCAGGATTGCCTTCAGAAGTTAGGGGCCCATGGTGCAAGTGTGCTGAGTCGAATCCAGATTGGACTCCACCCTCATTACAGGAAGAACCCTGAGGGCGTGGAGGCGGTGGCGCCTGTCAGAGCGCCGCCCAAGACGGTGTTCCTTGCCCCATCCAGGCCCGCTGGCTGCAGGTACCTCTCGCTTGGTCGATTCGGATCGATTGCGAGCACTGGCAGCCCGCATCAAGGCCAAGGAGGAGGCATCCAGGCGATTGCCGATGATGACGATGACGTTCTGCCAATGGGTCGTCCCGTCCTCCTCCTCCCCCTCACTCCATGCTCCGACGGTCGCCGTGCAGAAACGAGGATCGAGCGTCGAGGAACGAGGCTCTTGGGCGCGCCTCTTCGGGGGTTCTGGAGCCGAGGGCCGAGGATATTCAGCGTTTCTTTTCTGGGGGAATGCATTCGTCGACTCCTCATCCGCGATCCTTCCCAGGTTCCATTTCGATCCGATCGGTCCGATTCGATGTCGATTCCGTTTGGCCCGAACCGATCCGATTCCGATGCCCCGACGCTCCAATGTTGTCCGATGTTTGAATGGCGTTGGTGCGCAGCATCCTTGCGCAGCCGATCGATTCGATGCAGATTCCGTGCGGACGCAGCCCGGCCCCGATGCACATTTCGATTCGATCCGACGTCCGGACTCGATGCGGACTGATCCTGCATTTCCCCCCAGAGATCCGAGGCCTCGTTTTTGTATCAAAGGCGTGGACCCCTGGCCCCATTCTCAGGTCCAGCTTCTTATCTTCAGTCGTCTTCCCACGGTCATCAGCCCGAGAACGCGCAGAGGCGAAACATCTTGGCTTTCTTTTAGGGCCCACCGAACATTTTTCGCATAACCTGTATGCAGTCTGCACGAACTGTTGTTTGAACATTTCTGGCTGAGACTGCCCTGTCTTAGCACACCGGGGCTACGTTATACGAGAATTGCTTGTCTGCTTCGAACATACTTGTGGATTATGTGAACATCTCGTGGTAGGCCTGGAGCAATGCCGCGACGGTCGGTCCCTGCCAGACGAGGCCAGCCTCCTTCTCTTCAGGAACCCCACGCGAGGCGACCGGCGGGCCGACGCGGCTTTGCCTGAGGCTCACGGAGTCAGTCGGGACCGGCCCCTCCTCGATAGATCTTCGTGGCGTTCTCTCGATCATCATCATCAGCATCATGATCATCATCATGATCATCTCGATCTTCTCCAGTCTTGCTGCCATCATCATGATCATCATCATGATCATCATCATGGTCATCAGCATCGTCGTCGACGTCGTCGTCGTCATCATAATCATCATCAGCATCGTCGTCGTCGTTGTCGTCGTCGTCATCATCATCATCATCTTAATCAGCATCGTCATCATCAGCATCATCGACAGCATCAGCATCATCATAACCATGATCATCGTCGTTGCCATCATCATCATGATCATCATCATCATCACCATCATCATCATCATCATCATCATCATCATCGCAGGACCGCTGGACGTGTCGGGGCGGCGGGCCAGGAGTTGCGCCCAAAGCTGCCTCACATCTTATGTGCCTGGGGCTGGAGGTCTGCAACAGCTTAACAGGGCTCGAGGGGGAGGGGGATCAAGAAAGAGTGCTCTCGCAGTCCTCTCCCTCAAAAGGAGGAATCTTCAAAAATAGTCAAAGAATAGTCTGGGGATGATTGTCCCACTATTTTTGTTTGTTTGTGCATGTTTGGAGTATCTTGAATTTTCCTCCAAAGCCCGCCTGTAGGAGGACATGCCCGACCGAATACAAGCTGTGAGGAAAAGCCGACTTCAAAATGGGTTCCGTTCTGATCGCCGCGCACACCTGTTCCACTTTCTTGCAGCAGCTCACAGGGGTGAGGGGCGGCTCCTTCTCACAAGTGTGCTCCCCGCATCGAAGCGTCGACGTGTTTTCTGTTGCCGGAGGCCGGTTTCGGGCCCCAGAGGGGCACAGAACGGCTCGGAGGGCGGCCCTGACCTCTGCCGCAGTAATTTTCGTCCCGCGGCCCCAGACGGCCTGAACGCTATCCCAGAGGTAGTTTTTTACTTCCCAGAATAATTTCTTGTGGTCCTGGTGGGGCCTACATGAAAGTGCCCCCAGGTACCGAGATCGCGGAAATTCATCCTGTTGGCAAAAATCATGTTGTCTGAGATCTGAGGGTCCAGTAGGAGGCCACATGCAAACCCTACCCCACCACCACATGATTTCCAAGGGGGAAGGTGGGGTTCACTTCGTTCGGGACATCCCGAGCGAAGTGAACCCTATCCAGGCGCCCACGGCATCGCAACACTAAAAAGCGCTTGATATCTGGTTCAGGGGCAACGCAGGGGGGGGGATAGGCTCAGGAGGGGAGGCATCGACCCCCGATCGCCCAGTGATCGCCGACAGGGGCCTGGTACCCCCACCCCGCCTTGTAGCGTCCGGGTTTGGTATCGGGGGCATTGGCTTCAATTTTTGCGCCGGCGTACATGAGAGGAACTGTGGTTGATGCAATGAAGGTGGTGCGGATCCGAACTCTGCTTGGATGTGTGTAGCGGCGGTCCCGAATACTGTCTGCGCGGATCCGACTTCTGTCGTTCTGGACCTGAATTCCGTCCCTTTATTTTTACGCGGACCCAAGCTTTTGCACATTGTCTCATCGCACACGTGTCGCACCCAACATGAATACATCTCTCTTTACCCCCTGGCCGCTGCAATCAGCTTGTCCAGACGCCGTGCGCTTGGAGGTGCCGACGCAATCTCGCCAACCCCTCGCCGCAGCTGCCGCCTCAAGAGACGCACCTTCATCCTGCGAAGTACTCCGTTCCAGAGCGCTCCGGAACGCCCTGAGAGCGCTGCCAGAAAAAAGTACCGAAACTCAAGGGTTTTCACGTGACGGGCCCTGGGAGACACTCGCCCTACACTGTTTCGACACTGTTTCGACACTCTTTTGACACTTTCCCGGGTGCTCGAAATTATTTCTGGATGTGGTCCTTAAGTAGGATGGGAACAACATGACCCGAGCCCTATGTTCGGCATCACCTTGCCTCGATAATGGCCCAAACGCTTCCCTCAGTGTCTGAGGGCACATCCATCGGACTGTCGTCGCGTTTGGCCCGCCCATCTCAGGGATAGGGATCGGTTCGCTGCTGGTGAATCGAGAGCGCGCCTCGTCGGGCGCCGCCCCTACTTGGACCAGTGCTGGGGGCGCTGATGGTCAGAGGAGTACCCTTCCCTCGTTTTCTGCGTTTCGGTCCTTCTGGAAGGCCCTCGTCGCCACCCCCGGATTCGCTTCGAAATCCTGGTCAGACAGCACCCCGGAAGAGGTCTGGGGAGTAGCGGTATCGATATTTTTCGGCTTCGCCGTCGTCGGGCGTCGCCCCTTCTTGGTCCGGCCCCGGGGAATTCCAAAGGGGAGAGAGGGTATCAGCTCATCCCCAGGCGGGTTATACCTGGCCTGACCTAGTTTTGAGTGGTTTGCAAGTGCCTTGAGAGGCTCAGGGGGGTCCTCTGACTCCGCGAGATGGGCTCCGCCAACTTCGCCCGGACCGCTACTTACTCCTCAAAGCCGTTGATGGGGCGCTTGTCACCCACTTGTGAGCAAGGTTCGGCGAGATATGACCCACATTGGCATCTACTGACATACTTCACGAACGAACGGCACACCCATACCCATAGGGGGTCGGAGGGAGGAGGACTGGCTATGGCTATGGGTTCGGGCTGTCGGACCCCAGGGGAGGCTCCGTTCGAGCGGGGACCCCCATCCGACAACACGCACCCCTAGCCCGCTCCGTCCCCCTGTGGGCAGGGGTGCGTGCTGCTCGCTCGTCTGACCCCCCCCCACCCTCCTGGCAGCCCCAGCGCCGATCCGGAGCACCGCTGCCCCGCACGGAGCCCCCGTGGGAGCCCCCGCCCAGCCCAGCCCAGCCAGGGCGGCGGCGCTCAGAGGGGCGGCAAGCACAGCGGCTGGGAGGCCGCGGGCAGCAGCGGCGATGCAGGCTGGGGCGGGGAGCGTCCTCCTCCTCCTCCTCCCGCTGCCTCCCACTCTGCTTCATGGTGTCCTCGCTCTCCTCCTCCTCCTCCTCCTCCTCCTCCTCCTCCTCCTGTCCTTCCTTGTCCTTCCTCGTCCTTCCCTGCTGCTCCTCCTCCCTGCTCCTTTTTTTCAGCTATTGGTGGCGCCCCACTCCGGCAATAAGGTAGCCGACATTATAATCGGTTTCAACTATTGGGCGGGGTTCTAAAGACCTAGTTGGGTTAATGTTGTACATCCTTTGTAGCACTTTCAGCTAAAACGGTTCTGGCCCATACCATGCGCATCTTCCTACCTCGTCATCTTTCATCCTCCCTCCTCCTCCTCCTCCTCCTCCTCCTCCTCCTCATTCTCCTTCTCCTTCTCCTGCCTTCCTCTCCACCTCCCTCCCCATCCGCATCTTTCGCCTTCATCCTTCCTCCCCCGCCTCCCCTCCTCCTCCTCCTCCTCCTCCTCCTCCTCCTCCTCCTCCTCTCGCCTGCGTGCCCTCCTCTCGACTGCATGAGCTGCGCAGCGAGGGCGCCGAGAGCAGGGGGCCCAGCGCTGCCGCAGCCATCGGGCTCCCCCTTTGGCCCCACACATGCGGCGGCGCGCGCCGGCGCAGCCGCGCGGGTGCTGAAGGGGGGCTCGGCGGGAGAGGCGCCCCTCCCCGACGACTCGGGTCGGAGGACCGGGTGGGACGTCTTCGGGTGTGCACCGGCGAAGAGTCTGGAGGTCGGGAAGGGGTGTGGCGTAACGGGGTGTGGTGCCAATCGTGGAAACGGCGATGTTATCAGCGATGCATAACATCGCCAGAGTCCCCTCTACATGAGATTCACACCCAAGCATGGAGAACAGACACGCCATTCATAATGTTCAGCGACGGGTAACATGAAGGAACCAGGAGAAACAGAAACGTGTTCATCTTCGGATGTTCGTCGGCGAAGAGAAACCGTTATAAACATAAAGTTTTGGCGCTCCGCGCAGATTCCTTGGATCCGCGCCGGGCCCCCCTGGCGGCGACTCCGGCGCGGCCCCTGGCGCGCTCCGCGCGCCAGGGAGGGGGGGTCCCTGCAGATCCAAGACACCCGTGCGGAGCGCCAAACGTTGATGTTTATGCCTTCCTTCTTCCAGCCATGGATCTCCGACGTTTTCATCGGCTCTCGGCAGCTGTGCACAGCAGCCTCGGGCTGCGTTCCAGCAGCTGCCCTGCAGCCTCGGGGTGCTGCCAGCGGCTGCGCCTCGCCGAGCGCGTTCCGAGGTAGTGCCCCGGCCGTCCAGGTCACGGCCACTGGAGAACCGAGTGGTGACCCTGTCGACCCATCGTTGAGTCGGGCGTGCCCCCCTACAGGAGGAAAGTTCAAGAATAGTAAAAAGTGGTCTGGGGTAGATGTTTCTGCTATATTGGAGTATGCTTTGCTATTTTTGAGTGTGTGTTTTGACAATGGTTTATTTTTCCTCCAAAACCCCCCTGTAGGAGGACACGCCCGACCTAAACCCATCGATGGAGCGACCTCTCGTTCTTGGCTGTCAAGGGGGGGGGGGGCGGGAGGCGGGGGTGCCGCGTGATGAAGAGTTGGCCCGGGGCCCGACTGAACTTGCACTCGCGAGTGCAGCTGGCGCGAGGTCAGCCGGTGCAAGTTCAGTGCGCGCGAGTTCAGGCGTTTGCTTACGAGTTGATCCGTGCGATTTCAGCTGATGCGAGTTCAGCCTCGTGCGAGTGCAGCCAGTGCGAGTTCAGCTAGTGGGAGCTGAGTCGTCTCAGCCGGCTTTGCAAGAACAAGATGAGATTCTGGAATTCCGAACACGCTCGCACCCTTGTGGTTAGGGTCCCCCAGAACAGAACATTTTTCCTCGCTCGGATCAAGCCGACGCACTCATCCTTTCTATTGCGAAGCGCTCGACGACGAGGACGACCACGATGAGGAGGTCGGCAAAGACGACGAAGACAGGGACGACGACGAGGTGGAGGAGGCGGACGACGAGGTAAACGACGACGCGAACGCTCACTCACAAACCGGCGAGCTTTTCTTTGGCAGCGAGCTGGACGCGTTAGGCTCACGAGCGCTGGCTGCTATACGCCTTGGGTGACATATATTTGAAGCTCGTGTTGGTGCATCTTCGCGTCGAGGCCTTTCTGAAGCTGCATCTTCGGGTGTACCTCGTCTGTCCTGCAGGCTTCGCTTACTCTCACATCCGACGCGGCCTCGGCGCGCATTCGACATATGTACTGTAGACTCGAACCCTTCCTCTCCTCCGTGCCCCGACAACCGATGTTCTGCTTTTTCCGATGTGGGCCCCCAGAAGTCCCGGCCCTCCGGGGATGGGCTGGCGTTTCCTGTCGATCTGTTCTTTGACGGTCCCTGTGGCCAGGGCGCGGCCCCTTGGAGATCGCACGCGGCGACATACCTCCCGCAGCCATCCAGCTTTCGCGGCCGAAATCAGCAGAAGAAGAAGCCGCCGAAGACCGCCAGGAAAACCGAGGACGAGCGGCCAACACCATCACACAACCGCCGAAGACCGCCGAAGGCCGACAGCAGCACCGCCGAAGACCGCCCGGGGCCCGTGGGCAACAAGGAGCCCATCGTCGTACAGGCAAACGACGTTGGCTGTCTGGAGAGGCAGGGGGTGGAGAGCTGGGCGGGAGGAGGAGCAGGCGGGATGTTCGTTCCTGCGCGGCCCTGCGGGGCAGGCGGCGACTCTCTGGGCTGCGCAGACTACGGATGCGGCGAATACAACGCAGACCAGGAGCCGTTGAGAGAGAGGGTCTGGGGAGGGAGGCGAACGAGGTGGTCTTGGAAGGTTCCCGAAGTTCCTGAATTTGTTGATGGCCTTTGGGAGGAGAAGAGGGACCTGCCCAGCTCCTCTCACGATATGACTTGATTTTGCCAGCTCAGGCTGATTCAGGTCAGAGTGAGGGGGCTGAACGGTCATTCACTGTCCCTGGGCGCGTAGCTGAAGTGGGGTTCTGCGGTGTGGGTTGTTGTTGTTGTTGCTGCTATTGCTGCTGTTGGTATTGTTGTGGTTGAATTCTCGTAACGGAAGAATAATTATTGTTGATCCCCCCCTCCCGTGACCATTGTGTTTTTTCAATTGAAGTGCTTCCCCCGGGGCTCACACCCTGTTTTTTAATCAGGGAAAGTCACTGGGCTCAAACTGGGCCCCTGGCCCCTGGTTTACAGCAACAACGGCTCCCGCCTTGTACTTCTTCTCAATGTATTCCCAAATCGCGCTCTCGCGCGAGACTTCCTCACAATGCATGTGCGCATCGCGCTCTCGCGTGGTATTTCCTCGCAATTTACTCGAACGATGCGCCCTCGGCGCTCAGGAATCACGCTCTCCCTTTTGGGCTTGTCTCACGATTTACCTTGGAATCGCGCTATCGCTCGAGACGTCCTCGCGATTCATGCAGGACCCACGCTTCAGCAACCTGCCTGCTCGACCTGGTCGCCTGGGCCCGCTTTCTTGACCTGCCCGCTATGGGTCTGCCCACCCGATCTGCCCGTCTGGTTCTACCACTTGTTTTCTGCTCCTCGCCCCCCTCCTGTTAATTTCTCTCGTGCTCCACTCCCCGTTCCACCCGTCCTCTCTTCCCTTGTTTCTCGGGCTGCACTAAAAACAAGTGGCAGATAACGGAGATATACCTTCAAGGGGGTACGATCGGAGACGACGCGGGCGGGTACCGAAGGCTTCGGATATACGTATTGATTGGCACGCGAGCAGATACGAGCGAACAGTCTTAAAATGATTGTTGTTGTTGTTGCTGTTGTTGTTGTTGTTGTTGTTGTTGAACATTATTACTTCTAAAGAATAATTATTGTTGGGACCCCTGGTGCGCGGCCCCCTCGCCGCGCCTAGGCCGCAGCTATGTTTTCATCATTTTCGTGAGGAAGTCTCTGGCAAAACGGGTTGGTCCGGATCCGGTTGTTTTGTTACGGGCGGTTTTCCCTTGCAAAAAATAAGGCAAAGTGGACATTTCTTGTTCTAACATAACCAAACTTCAAGAATCCCTTGCCAAAAAATAAGGTAAAGTGGACATTCGCGCGCGCAAGACGAAATCCTTCCAAAACCTTAGTGTTCGTAACGATTTTAACATAAAAACATCAAAAAACCAATGGTTTTTTCAAAAAAACATGTCAAAATTTCATCCCGCGCGCTCTTGCGGATTTGTAGGAAACCCAACACTTTTTAAACATTTCTGTCAAACGGGCTTTTGCGAGCAACTTTTTCACGTGCTTCGAACTTCTCCAACAACGGTGTCTTCGCTTGTGTGGTACAGAAACGGAAAAACGTCGTATCAGACGCTAGCGCCTCACCAGCCAAAGCAGTCCATACCATTGTAGGACCTACAGACAGTACCGGCGTCGTACTGGTTTACCGTGGTTTCCTATTCTAGCGTCAGGAACACGTTACCACCAAAAACCAGTACAGGTGTCCAGTGTTGGAACAGGGGGAAAAGTCGTATACTAAGCTAGCGTCCAGAAAATGTTACCACAACAAGTCACTGTACCCATGCGCCAGTGTAGTAGCCACGGTCGTCCGCAGGCCACGAAGTGAAGTGTCCGAACGTCATAGGGCGGGAAGCTGGGTGTGGGTGGTGGCGAAGAGTCGTTTGGAAATGTGGTAGAGCTTGAACCGGCCCCCCCACAAAGTGGGGGTATTGCCCGCCTCCTATGAAAACCCTGGCACTGGTGAGAACGGAGTGTCCCCACGTGCTAGTAATTGTTGTTGTTGTTGTTGTTGTTGTTGTTGTTGTTGTTGTTGTTGTTGTTGTTGTTAGTCGTCGTCGTCCCCCCCCGACCCGGCCGGCGGCCCACCGGCGACCCGCCCGCGACCCACCCGCGATCCGGCCCGCGACCCACCCCGCGACCCGCCCGCGACTCACCAGCGACCCACCCGCGACCCACCCGCGACCCGGCCCGCGACCCACCCGCAACCCACCCGCGACCCACCCGCGACCCACCCGCTACCCATCCCGCAACCCACCCACATCCCTTTAACGACAAAATCGGCGCTTGCGGCGGGCTCACTCCATAACTTGTAAAAGTTAGGCGCCTGCGGCGGGCTTCTTCAGAGACTCGCAGACTGCCGACGTTCTCGCCGCCCCCTCGCTCTTATCCGCAACTGCGGTGTGCTACGTATCGTTGCTTGAGCTTTTCTGTTGGTTGGGTCGGGTGGCATCGACACCTGCTTCCGCAGTGAATTGAATTGAGCGGAAGGTTCCCGAAGTTCTCAGGAAGGTCTCGACGGTGCTCAGGAATTCCTCGGATGTTTCTGTGTAAGATCTCGGAGGTTCCGGGGGGCGGAGGGGTGACGCGGGAGGAGGATCTTGAGGAGCAAGACAACACGACGGGTGAATGGATGAGGAAGAGGAGGAGGACTACGAAACGGGGTGATGTCGAAGAGGGGAGCTGGCGGACTGGGAGAAGGTGGAGGATGAGAGGGAGGATGGATATGATAAATGATAATGCAGGGCGCGGGTAGGTCGTTGATGAGGAGATGAAGGATTCGGTGCAAAACACGTTGTGCTGGCTGGGGGTTGCTGCGACGTTATCGCCTGCGCCCGCGCATGCGGTGTGCGAGACCGCCCCGCAAAGTCTTCTCAATACGCTCGATGTCTGGGCTTCCCTCTCCCTCTCCTCCCCCTCCTCATCCTCCTCCTCCTCCTCCTCCTCCCCCTGCTCCTCCTGCTCCTCCTCCTCCTCCTCCTTCTCCTCCTCTTTCTCTCCCTTCTCCTCCTCCTCCTCCTTCTCCCCCTCCTCCTCCTCCTCCTCCTCCTGCTCCTCCTCCTCCTCCTCCTCCTCCTCCTCCTCCTCCTCCTCCTCCTGGCCTCCAGTCCAAGATTGACTCCCTCGGCTCTCATGTCAACACGCTCTCGATCGATGTCGAGAAGCACACTGCAGACATCGCCGACCTGCGTAAGCAGATGGAGGAGCTCCGCGGCGAGCTCATGGTCGCCAAGCGCACCGAGAAGGCTCCCACGGCACCACCCTCCTTCGATCGCGTGGAGGACCCCTCAGTCGTCGTCGCCATGGCTACGAAGATGGTTGGGATCGATGCTGTGCGTGCTTCACTCTCTCCCTTCTTGGGGGAGCTGGGCTTGGACGCATCATCATACACTATCAAGTCTGCTGGTCCGACTCCAAGCAGAAGGTACCTCATCTCTTTCAACGGCAGCGTGGGACTCGCGTCCAAGTATGTCAACAAAGTCCTGTCCAACCTCAGGCAAAACGATGAATGGCGTATCTTCCAGGCAGATGTGTCAGGCTCAACTCCCGCTCGCTTACATCTTGGACCAGACAAAAACCCAAAGCAAGTTAAAACGGAAATGGCGCTCAGGAAACTACGTGCTGCCCTCGCTGGCAAATACGAAGGGCGTTGGGCCGTGGACAGGGAGCGCGGTGTCCTTCGCTGTGGGTGGACGCGTATACTCAAGCTCTCCGCCCAACCTGACGACCAGCCATTCGACATCCTCTACAACGACGAGGGCCTCAATGAGGTTGGCATTGCCAAGCACGAGGTCCGCGAGCTGGTCCAGTCCACCATTGCACCGCCACCGCCACCGCAGTGGTGTCTTTAACGAGCTGATGCAGATGTTCAATCTCCCTCAAGCCAAAGATGGAAGCGCCGCGTTGCGATGTGCTACATGGAATGCGAGGGCGCTCCTGCAGTACCAAGGGGCGAAAGCTACTACCAAGTTACGATATCTGCAGCAGATTCACCTGCAATCCACGTTGCTGGCGATGCAGGAAGTTCACGCTGACCGTGTCCAATTGGAACAGTTCGTGCTCCAAGCTCATGCCCATGCAGTAGTCCACGCCTCATTTTGTGCAGTCGATCAAGGGGGATCGGGTGCTGGAGGTGTTGCTACTATTCTTCCTCGACTCGCTCTTGACGGAGCCTCGTCTAGCTGTGCCGCGCCGCTCATTCCAGGAAGGGTCCTGCAAGTTGATGTGCATAGACGTGGATATCAGTTGACACATTTTAATATACACAACCACGGCCTCTCCAGTGCCCAGGTGGATATGGTCTGTGAGCAGATCGACAGGTATCGGGTCGCGGCGGCGTCTGACCCTACCCACCACCTGGTCATTGTGCAAGGTGACCTGAATTTTGGCCCTGACGAAGCTCTGGTGCTACATCGCCCACTTCCCGCCCATGCATCCGACCCGCGGAATCATCGTGCCCTAGCTGCCCGTTGGCTTCGCTCGCTGGGTGCACTTCTTGAAGTATCATCGTCTGCGGCTACTCACTATACGAAGCACACCAACTCTGTCAGCTGCATAGATAGGTTCTTTTGTTCTTTACCTGGATGGATGCTATGCCAAGTTCGTGCTGAATCCACCACAGTTGGCGAGCCAGAAGCGTTGTCTCGGGCTCAAATCTCTGATCATGCCGCGCTGGTGACTACGTTGCGCCAGCGCCACCATCGACCACGGGGAGAACAAGCTATACCGCGGCACCTCTTTCATGATCCGCTCTTCAGGAGACGTATCGAGGGGGTGGTGACTGATGGCCAGAACGCCATTGATGCACATGCTGGCTCTATTTATCAGGAGCATTTCAAAGAGATGCTCAAGGAGGCTGCACGGGAGGTCCGAGACATGCTCTTCACGCTGAAGGCGGAGAGTGACGAGACGGCGATCATCGTGGCCCGCAGCTGCGCCCGAGCTATCTGGCGGCAGGACGTCCCACTGGCTCGGCGGCTTATTTCCACTTCGCAGTGGGCATCAGACGCACTGCTAATTGAAGGCCCACAAGTTCGCCTTCGGCATGCTGAATCATTTCACTTGTGGTCCGACGGAGTCCACCTGCGGCTTCTGGAAAAAGAATTGCAAGCCAACGTTGATCATGCCACTGGTCTCTCTGCTTCTCGCCGTCCCATCTCCACCCGCCGCCGACAGCAGCTATTGGAGAGGAAAGCCGCCATCTGGGCCCCTTTCTCTCGTCGCCTCATCTTGCAGAAGGTTCGATCCGGCCCCACTCTATCTCACTCGCCCGAAGATCGGTTTCAAGCTTTGAGTAACTATTGGCGCCCTGTATTCTCTCGAGGCTCTGTTCCAACCCATCGCATTGAGGCCTACCTCCAGGATCACCTGAAAGCTAATGTTCAATGCGAAGTCCCTCCTCCCACCAAGGCTGCTATCCGTCGTGCTGTGCGAGGTGCACGGCACTCTGCCCCTGGGGTGGACGGCATCCCCTATGCCGCATGGAATGCCTCTGACTGCTGTGTCGACGTCTTGTGCAACACCCTCGACTGGGTGCTTTGCGGGGGGACCCTCTTCGATGCCGCGAGTGTCACGCTGCAGGCCTTCCTGCCCAAGGGTTCTGAGGACGAGGACGAGGCCTCTGGAGGCTGCACGCGGACAGCTGACAAAATTCGAGTGCTGGGGCTTCGAAACACCGACATCAAAATCATGACCTCTGTTGTCAATCGCTCGCTCCGTAAAGTGGTCGAGGAGGTGGTTCCCTGCTCGCAAAGGGGGTTCGTGGTCGGCCGTAACTTTGGATACAATGTGATCGAACTCGACGGCATCGGAAGGCTTGCTGCTGCCCACCCTCGCTCTGACATGTGCGACCCCCTCCTGATCTCGTTCGATTATGGTCAGGCGTTCCCTAGCCTTTCCCAAGAGTACCTGCTGATTCTGATGAAGAAGCTCGGGCTCCCTAGGCCCCTCTTGTGGTTTCTCTCGTGGCTGTACCTCGCTATTCAAGGTGTGGTGGCCCATGCTGGCCAACTTATCCCTATATACTGGCTGCGGTCTGGGATTTTCCAAGGATGTGGGCTCTCTGGGAGCCTCTACGCCCTCGGCACGGCCCCCTTTCTCCAAGCGCTGGAGGACTCCCTCGAGGCTCCTGGATATGGTATTGCTCGTGCGTGTGCTGATGATATAGGAGCAGTGGTATATGAAGCTAGGCACCTTCAGGTGCTATATGATGTGATGGTGGTTACGGAGTGCCTCACAGGGCTGAAGCTGAAGCCCATGAAGTGCAAATTGTCCCGCTCAAGGGGGAGTTCACTGAGTCCCTCCAGTTCCACACCTTGTCCCTGGTCGAGCGCCTGGTCCCTGCCTGGCGCGCCTTCGAAGTGGCCTCCCACGTTCTCTACCTGGGCCTCCTGCTGGGCCCCGCCGTCACTGTCGACATGCAGTGGCTTGCACCGCTACAGAAGCTCAAATTACGGGCTCGTCTACTGGGGTCTGGGGCTGCCCCTGCTAGTATCAACGGCGTCTTGTACTCGGCCAGGGTGTTCTCAGTGGTCTCATATGTGGCCCAATTTGTTCCTCTCCCTCAACGTCTCGCCGCTCTGGAACTGGGGATTCTGGCGCAAGTCTTCAGAGCCCCTCTTGGAATGCTCACCTTAGCTGGATGGGCCCAAATTGGAGAATGGGGAGGCCCTCGTATCCCTCTGCTGCTACATTCGTGCGCCGCTGCCTATGCTCGAGCTGCATTAGTCACGTTTTCTGATCACACTACCATTAACGATCGATTCCGACAGCTGGAATCTGAATGGAGATGTTCCCTCATGGCGGGGCGATATGACGATGCGCCTCTGGCGGCGATTCGGACTCGTGGAGATGCACTCGACCATACTGGCACGCACTGGCGATCCCCTTCCTTCTTGCTCGGATACGCCTCAGTTCTCCAGCCAAGCAGGGAGGCAGCGTACACCACCGAGATCAATAACACGTGCGTGCAGGCCATCGCCCAGGAGCTCCTGGCCACCGACAGGAAGCCCAAGCCTCAACGTGCTGCCACCCGTGCCCTTCGGGAGTTGCTGGTGACACCCTTCCCACTCGCCTCGCTGGTGCAGAGACGTCTTCTGAAATATGTACATGAATGGGAACCGTTCCTGGATCGAGTGGTTTGGACAGAGATTGGTGGACTTCTATCGCTGGTCCCCATGAGCTGGGCCATGCCTGTTATAAAGACTTATTGCTCTGGATGGCTTACCTCATCGCGCATCAAATATGCTGGAGGCTCCCGCTCATGTATCTTTGGATGCCGAGCCCACGATGATCGACAGTATCACTACATGCGTTGCCGCCCGCTCTGGACAGCGGTGTACCAAGCACTAGGATATGAGATGCTCCCACTCCTCCCTGACCGATTGGGACTGCGGCTCCCTGACATCAAGCATGTCGAAGCCGTGACAGTTGCCTTCAACATCTACCACAACATGCGATTTCGCTTGTACGTCACCGCCAATGACCTTCGATCTAGTGCGAGAGCAGCGGTCAGAAATCTAAGATTGGCCAAGCCCGATTCTCAATGGCAAAAGAAATGGCAGCCCCCAGAGGCACTGATTCTTCGCCGCCTTCCTCTACCCACGTCGACCTCATCGACATCATCTAGCGATATCGAGGACGACGAGCCGCTGCCCGACCCCCCTGGAGATCCCCAAGACGGTGATGAACTGGCCGCTGGTAGTCATGGTTTTACATCTGTGGGCAAGTCCTCGGACAGCCCGCCCTGCGTCGACACTGATGGAGTACCGCGCTCTGGTCCTGACGTGGTCGGGAATGATTACCGATCACCGTGCCTCACTCCGCAGCTGGTCCCCACGGTCCACACCGATGACGACAGAGTCTCTTCCCCCTCCGCTCCTGGTACACCAGCTACTCTGATTGCGACACCTTCCAGAGAGATATACGGCGACGACCTCGACTGCCTTGAACCCTCAGTGCCGAGCAGAGGGGGTACTGACATCGTCAGAACGCCAAGTCCTGGCGCTGGGTGCTCCTCGAGCCCAGGCGTCCAGGCATCTAGAGTAAATTGCGAGGAGTGGCTGCTGCCGTCCCCTGGAGTTGAGGCTGGGAAGGTTAGAACGCAAAGTCCTGACGACGGGTGCTCCTCGAGCCCGTCGGCTCAGGCGTCTAGAGTAAATTGCGTGGAGTGGCCTCTTCCGCCGATGGCGATTAGAACGCTCTGTCCTGCGCTGGGGTGCTCCTCGAGCCCTGGGAAGCAGGCTGGCTCTACTCCCGATGGGGAAGGTCACTTGCTCTGTGCCGTCCCTGATCGTGCGTCGCTCACGGCAGGGGTGCATTCTGGCTACCACTCCTGGACGGGCTGTTGCTCCCATGGTGCCCTGCTCATCCGTGGCGTCTTGCTCCCCGATGTCGCTGTCATGGACTCCCTCGCGGTCCCCGAGCACCCTGATGGCCAGCCCGTCGACCCGGAGGCTATCTCCCCCCACCCCGTGGTCCGCGCCAAGGACCCCGCCTTACCCTGAGCCCTCCCGTCGCTGCCTCTTTTCGACTGTCCCCTTGTCCTCTTTTGCCCCGCACACCTCGCTCTGTCCGCCCACGCTTGGCTCTACGCATGCCCATCCGCCCGTTCCGTCCCCCTTGTCCCTTGAGCCCTCCCTGCTGCTGCCCTCTGCCGTCTCCTCTCGCTCCTCTCCCCTGGAGTTAGCTATGTCGCTGGCGTTTCCCCCGTCTCCCACCCCTTCCGTCGCTCCTTTGAGCCTTGCCCCTGCTCCTGCGTGCTCCTCCCCTGCTCCTCCCTCCTCGTGGCATAATCAGCTTTGGCGCTCTAATACCGCAAAGAGCGAGGCAACGACCTCTGGCGCCCCTGCGCCCCTGTCTTAGGGTGGAGCTGAACCCCCCCTGTACGCTGTCCTCCTCCTCCTCCTCCTCCTTCTCCTCCTCCTCCTCCTCCTCCCCCCCCTTCTCCTCCTCCTCCTCCTCCTCTTCCTCCTCCTCCTCTTCCTCCTCCTCCCTCTGTTTCTCCTCCTCCTCCTCCTCCTCGTCCTCCTCCTCCTTGTCACTCCTTCTCTCCCCCCTCCCCCCCCTGCCCCACCCCGCGGCGCACGCCGCGCACCCCGCGGTGGCGGCCGCCTGCCCCGCGGCGGTGGCCGCCTCTTTCTTCCCTGCCTCCGACCTGTCCTCCCGCCCCTCCCTGGCGATGAGGAGACGATCCAGGGAACCGTTTATTGTCACTTGGTCTGGCTTTCCTGCGACTCCAGCGATCCGCTGCGGAAGTCCACTGGAGGCCACTCGGGGCCGCATGGGGGCCACTGGAGGAGCCACGGGAGGCCTTGCGAGGCTCGCGGGGGCCACTGGAGGAGCCACTGCGACCACTTTGGTGATTGCGGAAGGCTTCCAGGAGCGTTGTTTGATCACATGCGTCACAGCATGACGCACTGCACGCGTAAGATCAGCAGCATTGCTCAATCATTTCCGCCGGCCCCGCTTCGCCCTGTGTGGTTAAAATTTGTCTTGTCGCTTCGTAGCCACTTTGGCTCGAGTGCTGACCTTGCTGGATTCCTGACATCGATGCACACGCCAGGTTTGAGGTTCGAGAGTTCCAGACGTTCTCGTCAGCTCTCGGCGGTTTTTCAGCCTCGGGGTGCCTTCCAGCGGCTGCGCCTTGCCGAGGGCGATCTGGGGGTGCCCGGATCGACCCGACGAAGAGTAGGGAAAGGGGAAGATTACGAAATCTGCTGCAATCAGCTGGTTTCGGCCCCGCCGAAGGGCCCATTCCTCGATACATGGGCGCCTCCCGGCGCCAGGATGCGGCAAGAAATCCAGCTACATGAGCTGATTCCCGACCCCACCCTTTGCTATCCTACCCCTTCGTCCGCCTCAGAAAACCAAACACGCAGAACGCGTGCCTCCACCTGACCCTCGTCCTGGGGGGCAGCTGAGCACGAAAGCACGGAGGCCGACCAACTCTTCCACGGCCGCGAGAACGAAGACGACCACTTGCTCCTTCACGGCCGCGAGCACAGAGACGACCACAAGCTCCTCCACGACCACGAGCACGGAGTCCTTTCAGAGGAGGAACAGGTTGGGCCTCCGGGGAAGCCCTGGTCGCCGCCGCTGGATTCGCCTCGAACTTATGGTCAGACCGCACCCTTGGGGAGGTCCAGGGAGTAGCGGCATCGGAACCTTTTGGGGTCCCCAAATGCAGTTTGGTTTTCAACGACTGTGAGTGCAGAAACGACGATATACTCTTCCACGACCGCGAGCAATGAGACAGCCGCAAGATCCTCCACGAATGCGAGCCTGGAGATGACACTTACTCACTGTCCGCAGGCTTGGAGACAGCCCCCAGCTCGTCCACGACCGCGAGTACCAAGACGACCGGTTACTCCTTCGTGACCACGACCGCGGAGACAACCACTAGCTCCTCCACGACCGCGAGCGCGAAGGCAGCCACCAGCTCATCCTCCATGACCACGAGCACGTCTTTCACAGCCGCGAGCACGGCGACAGCCACCAGCTCTTTCATGACTCCAAGCACAGAGACGAACACTCACTTCTCAAAGACTGCGATCGCGCAGACGGCTACCATCTGTTCCACGAGCGCGCGCACACGCACATGCACACACAACACACACAAACACAAACACCCACACACACTCACACACATTCACACACACACATGCCCGCGCGCGCACGCACCCACGCACGCACGCACACACACAACAAACAAAGCGTCGACGATTCCCAGGAACATCTGGAGCATCTGGGAAGTGGAGGGGGCGCGACGACCAGCCAGGGCATGTAGATGGGAGGCAGGGGGGAGTCCTGGGATCTTTGTCCACTTGGTTGTGTGTGCCTGTGCCCTTTTCCATCCCCGCCCCGCGCCGTGTCGTGGCGAGTTGCGGAGTCTGCCCCAGCAGGCGCGGCGCTCCCCCTCCCTCCCGGGGCCCGGCTCGCCCTCCCTCCAGGGGCACGCTCTCCGGAGGCGCGCTCTCCAGGCCACCCGCCAGGCCGTCCTCCTCCCTCGTCTTGGAGCCTCTCGGACGGAGCCAAGACGAGGATGAATCCGTTCCAGAGCGTCCCAGGACGCTCTGAGAGAGCGTTGCGGCACGCTCTCAGATTGCAGATCCGCCGGATCTCAGATATTCTCGATTTGACCTTACTTGACTTCGTCTTATCCTGGCCACCCGCCAGGACGTCATCTTGCCTTCTCTCCTGGAGCTTCTGGGATCCTGTGTAGAGCCATCGCTACCCCAGGCAGTCCCCGAACGACGCGTTTTTGACTTTACATCGGCTGGCCTCCTACCCTCCTCTTCCTCTGGACTTCGCGCCGGTTGCGTTGGTACCTCCACCCCGCTTCATGCTTCCCCCCGCCGCGGCAGAAATGCCAGTGCAACCCAGACTGCAAGACCTTCGACAGCTGCTGCTCGGACTACGAGGCTCCGCGCCCTCCCCCAGTCCTCTGGGTCCTCCTCCTCCTCCTCCTCCGCCCCGCCCTCTCTCCTTCGCACCGTCCTCCTTGAAGGGGCCCCCGCTGGAGGTTTCCCGGAAGGCCCCTCGTGGGCTTCTTGGAGGCTCCTCTTCCTCCTCCTCCTCCTCCTCCTCCTCCTCCTCCTCCTCTGACCCACACTGCTTCTTGTACTGGTGTGCATCGCGTGCTTGTCTCAACTCGCGCTGCAGTGTCTCGAAGCCACCGCCTCACTCACCTGTCCTCTCGATGCCCGGGCACTTGTCGTCCGCACCGGTGGTTCGGTTCGCTTCGCGTCGGGTGGCTTCTCGGATGCCTCCTTGGGGCTCCCCCGGAGGCCGCCTGCCCTTCACAGGGCCCCGTGGACTCGGAAGCCCCCCAGAGGGCCCAACAGCCCCAGGAGCCTCGAGCCTCAGTCCTTCTCCCCATCCTCTTCGACGTGCTGTCGCGCCGATCTGGCCCGCAACGAGAAGGAGACGCTTAACCGAGAGCCCCAGGAGAAAAGCGAAGGCCGCGACCCGGCCCGAGGTGAGGATTCTCCTCCTCCTCCTCCTCCTCCTCCTCCTCCTCTTTCTCCTCCTCCTCCTCCTCCTCCTCCTCTTTCTCCTCCTCCTCCGCCTTCTCCTCCTCCTCCTCGCCGCCGCCCGCCGAGGTGTTCTGCGGCGGCGCCAGCGTCGGCCCCCCGCAACAGGCGGGGCGCGACCCCCCCAGGGCGGCAGCACACCATGGGGCAGCCTCGGGCATCCTGGCAGCACCGCCGCCCTCAGAGCGCCTCAGCGCCGACGAACGGCGGCGAGCGAGGGGGGGCGTGAGGAGGAGGCCTTCTCGGAAGGCGGCGGGACTTCTCAGAAGCTTGTTGGAAGGTGTTGTTGCGTCTTCCGGGAAGGCTTATAACATTTCTCGGGAGGCCGGGGGACTTCCGCGCCTTCTGAGAAGGCCCACTCCTCCTCATTTCCCCCCTTGCTCGCCGCCAAGACTAGCGTCTGGTCATCGATGATGCAGCGCCGATCCAGCCCCAAGTAGCGCCGAGTCGCGTCGGTGAGACCCAATGCCCAGTCGGACGGTACAGTCAAAGCGCACAGCACGCACGAGCAATTTTCTGAGGTTGCCCTTGCATCCTTACCCCTTCGGCCCATCTTTGGCAGCTTTTGCTGGCAAAGATGTGAGAGGAGAGGAGGAGGAGGATGTCGTGGAGGATGTCGTGGAGGAGGAGGAGGAGGAGGAGGAGGAGGAGGAGGAGCAGCAGGAGGAGGAGGAGGAGGAGGAGGAGGAGGGGAGGAGGAGGAGGAGGAGGAGAGGAGGAGGAGGTAGAGGAGGAGGAGGAGGAGGAGGAGGAGGAGTGAGGAGGAGGAGGAGGAGGAGGAGGAGTTGGAGGAGGAGGAGGAGGAGGAGGAGGAGAGGGAAGGGAGAGAGGAGAAGAAGGGAGAGGGGCTCGGAGCTGGGGGCGGCGAGGTGGCCCAGCAGCCAGGTCCGACCAAGGAGGAGCCCAGGCCTCCCAACTGCTGAGCGACCTGGGGCCCCCGGGACGAGGTTCGGGCTGAACGAAAGTTGGGGATAGGGAAAGGGGGGGTTACGAAATCTGTTGCATGCAGCTGGTTTCGGCCCCGCCACCAGGACCATTCCTCGATACATGGGCACATCCCGGCGCCAGGAGGCGCTGGGAAAATCAGTTGCGCGAGCTGATTCTCTACCCTGCCCTTTGCTATCCCCCCCTTTCGTTCCCCCCGAGAGGTGGGCCTGGTGATGTGATAATGGGCCTGGCGTCCACCACCACCATCAGTTGGAGGGGGGAGGGGGTCCTCCTCCCCCTCTCCTTCTTCTTCTTCTTCTTCCTCCTCCTCCTCCTCCTCCTCCTCCTCCTCCTCCACCTCCCTCCCCCCTCCCACTTATGGTGGTGGTGGTGGTGGTGGTGGTGGTGGTGGTGGTGGAAAACAGGCCCACCAATGTGAGGGTCTGTGGCGTTGGGCAGCTCGTCGGCCCCTGGCGGGTGGGCCCAGGCTCGGTCCCGAGGGCGGACGCCCGGGCCCCGGGGCCACGGGGCATGCTGCTCGGCAGGTCCACCCCGCCCCTGTGGTTGAGTCGGGCCTGTCCCTCTGCCGGAGGGATACGGCAGGCTTAGAGGTTGACACCAACACCAAGATCGGCGGTCTGTCGGGGGACATGCCCGACCTAACCCTGTGGCCAGCAGATCCCGAGTCGATCGTTGCCTGTCGTTTCTGGGAGGGCCGATCGTCCATGGTCGAGAGGTCCCCGTGGTGTCGGGCACCGGCGCCGAAGTCGGCACGACAGGAGCCTGCCGTGGGCCTCCCGGAAAAGGGTCGGAGCAGATGGAGTCGAAGCATCGCGCCGCATCACCAGCGCGGTTCTCCAGAAGGTCAGGGGAGGTGGCCCCGCACCGGGTCCGACCATCAGGAGGGGTGGGGGGTGGGCGAGGCTCGAGGTGCTGGGTTCGCGGGGGATGTTGTTCTCCTCGTTCGGCCTCAGGTGTCCGTGTCCGGGCCCCAGGAGAGTCTGGGGCAGATCCGAAGGGAACAGCTGCACAAGATGGACCCCGCGAGGGGTCCAGGGACCGATGTTGAGCGCATGTGCCTTCATCTCTCCGTCTTTGCAAATGTCTCGGGGTCCGTCCAGCTCAGACCTCTTGGCCGCCTCCAAGAAGGGGCTACATCTCAGATTCGTGCAGGGCCCTCTTGGACATCATAGGTTCGCAGCTCGCCACAACGCCACACCGCGTCTTTCACCGAGCGGCGTTGAGCGGTGTGGAGCGGTGTAGGCGTTCCAGCTTTCCACAGTTCCTTTTAGATCGGACGCATACCAGGGGCTCCCAGACGTCCAATCTCCTGAACAGATCAATGCGGAGTTCTCTTCCATTGTCTTCAGCGCCTTGTTGGCTATCGCTGAGCTATGGAAACACCAGGGACGACGCAGGATGAAGAACCAGTCCATGAGGAAGGGGGTGGGACGTCTGCGAATCCGTGTTGAAACCTTACAGATATTTGGGTTTGTGGTCTTAGGTTGGTTGGCGTCTTCTCCGTTCCTCGGCGGCTGTCAAGCCTCGGGCTGTTCTCCGGCAGTCGCGCCTCGCCAAGAACCTCGGGCGTTGACCAGCCACATCGCCCTCAACGGCCGCTGGAGACCTGCGTTAGGGCCCGAAAGCCAGGCATGGAGTTACACACATACCCACCGCCAAGGGAGCCGGCCTCCCGGAAACCCAGGAACAGATGACTGTGGCCGTACCTTTGGCACCCCCTGGGGCCCGGAATATCTCCAGATCCAGTTGCTCCTACAGTGGTCGGGGGCGGAAAAGAGGGGGGTGATGACTAGGGGGGGGTGGATATCATGGCGCGGGCCATGATATTTCCCCAGATTTCATGGCGCCTCTTCTTATTTCATTACGTCCCTGGCCCCCCCGCTGGGCCGCGCACATGCCGCCGGTCATGATTTGCGCACCCCCCTCTTGGACACCCCCCTCTTGGCCGCTCCCGAAGTGGAGGCCCATGCCAAGAAACACCTTGCTTACCTCCAGGGTGCCCTGGGTTTCTTGGGTTTCCATGGCTTTGCTGCGGAAAGCGTGACGTTCTCGCACCAAAAAGTCAATGGACGTCCCGGGGTTTCAGGATTGGGTTTCTTGTGGAAGGTTTCTTGTGGTCGGGTCCCTTCTGTAGGGTCCTGGGACATCACCCCTCCCCAGGCAGAGGTTACGCACAAGTCCTTTCCTCGGATCTCCCGGCTCGCTTGCAAAGCAGAAAACTTGTAAGCACGCTTCGCGAGGGCATCCAGTTTCATTCGACCTGAGGAATCAGAGCGCACCTCCGGAAAGTCGTACTTCTGTAGATGTTGGCCCATCTGTTGGCGCCTTGCAAAGATCGATGCGGAGGCTTTTGGCCGTTCTCGCCACCTGGGGCCGGGAGGTATTCTAAGTGTTAACGAGTCTGAGTGCGAGGAAGTCTGAGTGCGAGTGAGTCTGAATTCGAGTGAGTTTGAGTTCGAGCGAGTTTGAGTATTTCGATTGCAAGTCATGAGCGTCTTGTTTACCCTCACAATTCCGTCTTTAGAGTCGATTCGCGCCGATTAGCGTTTGGGAGTCGATGAGGTAGCGCCGACTTTGCGTCGGTCAGCGTCGATTTAGCGTCGATGTGCTTCGATTAGCGTCGATGTGCGTCGATTCGCGTCGATTCGCACGAGCCGACAAGATGGTATGGGTGGCTCGCATGAGTTGCCACCGAAGAGTATGAGGCTGAGCGCGAGTAATTAGAAGTATATGTGTGACTGAGTTTGGACGCGTGCGGTCTTCTGCGCTTTGGCGATGAAAGGGCGTGCTCTCGCGGCAGAAGGTATTCTGGATGGGACAATAATCGCCCCCTCTTGAATCCGCTGGCGGGTTTGGCACGTGCTGTCCGAACGGATGGAGGGAGGGTTGGAGGAAGAGGAGGAGGATGAGGAGGGGGCGGAGGATGGAGGGGATCGGGATAAGGCAAACTCAGTCGGACGGTTTATCGCCCCCCTTGATAAAAAGAGGAGGATGAAGAAGTTGGAGGATGATGGGGGCTGGCGGGATTGGGCAAGCTCAGTCGGAAGGTGCATCGCCCCCCCCTGATAAATACCCCATTCAGGGTAGGCCCCGATGACTGATGCTCCTGCCAGGGTCGGGGAGAGACCGCCCAGCCTCGCCAATCCCAGGCGATAGGCATCCTGGCGGCGGCCCCGTCGACTGCTGAACGCACGCTCCGAGACTGGGATGTCACGCTGTTTTTTTTGTTTATCGGCGGCGATGCAGCGGCAGTCCGCATCAGCGTGGGGCTAATCGGGGCACCCGACGGGCGAATTGTCGGCGTGCAAGAGGCAGGAACGAAGACGAGGGCGGCCGCGCGAGGGGAGGAGGGGGGGAAGCGCTTCGACGTGGAAGAGTTCCGGCCAGCCGGGGCAGCGGGGTCCGCGGCAGCAGCCGGGGCCGGGGCCAGGGCTCACCCACGGGAAGGGATGTCACAGACACCCGACGCCGTGCTTTTTCCACGACGTGGCTCCCCAGAGGTCTGGACCTCTTTCCCGGGACTGGCCTTCCACCCTGAGTCGTTTCTGATGGCGCCGCGGGCCCGAGAAGGGCCAACGGAGGCCGAGCATTGCCCAGAACCCTCCGTCGCGCTTCTGTGGCACAACGCGAGGAGCCCAGGATACCGTCAGCTGCCGTCGCCTTCGCCTGTCGTCGTCGCCGCCGCCGCGCTCGTCGCACGCTTCCCTGCCGCGCGCGAGGCCGAGGATCCGGCCGGCTTCATGGGCGGCGCTGGCGGCGCAGGCCTGCAATGCCGCCGGGAGGTGGGGGGGCGCACGGGTGTCCGCGGTTCGGTCCGGTCGGAGCTGGCTGTTTTCCGGGGCGACGAGATCTAGGTCGGGCACGTCCCTCTAGAGGGAGAAGGTTCAAGAGTGGTAAAAACATAGTCTGGGGATGTTTTTGTTGGGACTCTTGTTCAAAATGTTTGAGCATCAGTTGGCTATGTTTTACTTCTCGTCCAAGCTCTGCCTGTAGGAGGGCAGGCCCGACCTAGGACGAGATCTGTGCATCTCCACCGCGCCTGGGCAGGCCCTCCCTGGGCCCTCGGGCTCGATAGAATGAATGATATGCCTCCCTGGCCAGGCCGGGGGGGGGGAGTATATACCGGTCCTGGGCCCAGGAGGAGCCCGAGTGGGGTCGGTGGACCTGTGCGGGTATCGTCGCCCATACATTCGATCGGTCCTGTTCGTCCAGTCACTGCATGAGGACGACATGCCTGGGCGTGCCCCGTCACGCAGCAACGCCTGGAACGATTCATGGTTGAATTGAGCTCTGGCCATGCTCGTGTGCTTCGTCGCCGTTCTCGTCTTTGGGATGATCTGATCGACCTCTCCAGGCATTTTGCTAGGAGCGGAAAGCTATGTTTCATCGTCCCCCCCGTCATCTGTCCTTCCTGGTAATCCTACATCATGGCCGCGCTGCGTTGCACGGACGTCTCTTTGGGAGGGGACCCAGACTTCAAGCGGACTGTTTTCCAAGTTCGGTTTTGTGCCTCGATCTCGACTTCCCGACCTCCTGATGGCCATCAGATCCGCGGACAACCTGTGTGTCACCGTGCCGCATTGGCGTCTCCCGAGGCGTCGTTGGTCTTTGACCACCACCGTACCGCGGTGAAGCGGGGCCTTAAGGGAGTCCAAACACGGCGTCGGTCCGCGACCCATGAGTGGTAAGGTGCATAGTGTTGCAGCGCTGAGAGAGCCGGACAGCTATGCACCGTGCGGCATTGTAGCGGGGCCTGAAGGGAGTCCAAAGACGGTGCAGTGCATGGTCGCCGTTCTCGTAATCCCAGGTGGACCTGGTGCGACCAAATGCTCCCGGAGAAGGGATGGGCACTCGCGGGGCCAACGGTTGGCGGAGTCATGTCGTCGTGGGGGGGGTGCCCGGCTTTTTGGCACTGGGCGCTTGGAGTGTGGGGGGAGCGTTTCGGTGACAGAGTCGGTGACATGCAGGAGTGGCTCTTCGCCTTTCGTTGGCCCTCCCTCAACAGCGCACATGCCTTGCTAAGGATGCAGATCCTTGGAGCTTCAATTTCGCATCGGCGCTGGTATATCCGCAGTCCGTTACTGGCACAACCTGGCGCAATCCCGGTCAATTATGTTTATAGTCCCGCCTCATGTCGGGCGATCCCGCGTAATTTGGATACCAACCGGGCGAAGTGCGGCCTCATCGTGTGAAATGGCCCCCTGATCGGATAGCCCTCAATTCGTTTCCCGGGAGATGCCTCCCAGCCTCACGCAACCACGTCCACCCCCCTTCCCGCTCTGCCCAGGGAGGGGTGGGGTGCTGATCTCCTCGCTCTTTCCCCTCCCTCTGTCCTTCTAAGGAACTCCTCCCACTCGCACCCCGAGGCCAGTCGGAAGGGCGGGCCGGGCGTTTCGTCTGAGACTTCCTTATCACTGGCAGCAGCAGGTTCACGCATCGACGGCGGGCGCTGTTCTCAATGTGGTTCTCGCCGTAGCGCCGCGCATATTCTTTTAAACAGTTGCAAGAGTTTCGCGGATTCAGGGCGGGTCGTTTTCAACATGTTGTTCTCGCCTTTGCGCCGCGCACATTTGGAGTTTCGCATATTCAGGGCGGGTCGTTTTCAAAATGTGATTGTAGCCGTAGCCTCGCGCACACTCTTAGTAAGCACTTGCAAACATTTCACAGATGCAGGGCGGGTCGTCTTCAAAATGTAGTTCTCGCATTGGCGCCGCGCACACCCGTTGCAACACATTGCAAGAGTTTCACGGATTGAGGGCGGTTGGTCTTTTAATGTGGCCTTCGCCTTAGAGCCGGGCGCAATCATGTCAACATGTGCCAGAATTGCATTGATTGAGGGCAGTTGTTTTTCAAGCTGTGGTTCTCGCATCAGCGCCAGCCGCTCTCGTCTTGACAAATTACAGAAGGTTCAAGGTTCCCATGGTCAACGTAACAGTATTGCGTAACAGTATTGCTTTATGGACCGATTCAGGACTGTCAGGGCGCGACAGTTACGTTGATTGAAGTCCATGGAATGGCGTTCTGGCGAGATTCCGGATCGTCATAACGCATTAAGCAGGTTTATTCGCAGCGGTGGAGGCCCCAGAATGGTGTTTGCGCATGCTTCAGGATCTTCAAACGGTTGTCTCTCAACAGGGTACCTCAGTGGAAATGAACTTGTGCAAGGGCCTGCAGAGACGGAGTTTGGAGGGAGACTTTAATCCAACATCGTGGATGAGCCTAGTGTTTGCATTGGTCCTCTTCCTCCTCCTGTGCCCGCGCCTGCTTCCCTTCTCTTCCTCCTTTCGAATGGTCGTCCGTGACGTCGTCCCCCTCTGAGCCGTGGACACGCCGCTGCCTATCCATAGGCTCCGCACCGCCTGGTGCCAGACAAGGGACGCCCCTTCCAATGAAGCCCTAGATCGCCTTGTCCCTAGGAACTTAGATGCTCTACAGGCCAGTTTTCTTGCCTGCTTGGAGTCGCTCCCTGGTCCCAGCCGTTTCTATTCTTCGTCCTCGGTCCTCCTCCCCCCCCCCGACTCCACCTCCTCTCCCTGATCCTCTCGCCTCCGGCCCAGATGCGGGCCCGAGCCCTGTCGCCGCCGCCCTCCCCGGGCCCAGGCCGCAAGGCTGGGCCCTGGGCGAGCGGAAGAGGACGCACCGAGCCTCCGCGTTCCGCGAGCCCCGAGGTCCTGGCGCCGCAAGTTTTTTTCGAACTTGGCGCCGAATACGACGACCTCTCCGAGGCACTGCGCAGCTGTTCATGTGCAGACTCCTGCACGCCGCCGCAAACTTACGCTGCGAGCTGCCGAGTCATCTGCCGATGCGCCGTCCAGGCGCGGCCTTCTCCTGCCTGTCCTCCTGCCGGGCGCGCGGACTTATCCGGGGTGAGTGGGGAGGTTGTTGCCGTTGGGACGTTTCGCTGCAGTTTCTCGTCGTGCCGGAGGGGTTCTGGGGCATGTGCGTCGCCCTCTTTCCCGTTCCTGAACTTGCTCCTCACGGACTCTACCTCTTGTAGTGGGGTCTCAGATCGCGGATGGCAGAACAGAATCGCCGGTTTTCGGACCCTGGGATCTCGAGAAGAACGAAAGCGTCAAACATTTAAACATGCCGCAGGTGAATGTATTGCACGGCGAGGGCGCCGGTGTTGACAAGCGAACAACATACACAAGGGGGGACGGGGGGGCTATGAGTGCGTGTTGTCGGGATGGGGGTCCCCGCTTGAACGGGAGCCCCACCCGCGAACGGACAACCAGCACCCACACCCATAGCAAGTCTGCCCCCCTTCGACCCCCCTCTGGGTATGGATGTGTTTCTGTGCGTGTGTTGTTCGTTCGTCCTTCCACCGCTCCCCCTCTCATCCACGCCCGGATGGCATGTGGCGGCCTGCCGCTGCGGGGCCTTCAGCGGTCTCTGAGGGCTCGGGCGTTCTTGGTCGCGCGCGCTTTGTTCCGCTGCTTGACGACCTTCCCCGCCCTGTCGCCGCGCGCAGGGCCGCGAGGCCAAAAAGCTTGAGTTGTTCGTTCGTCTGGTGGGGCCAGCCAGGCCTGCGGTGCCAGGACAGTGGGCGCGGGGAACCTAACCTGGGTTCCTACCCTCTCGATGCCGTGGCCCCCAGGCCTCTCGGCCCCCCCATCTCCCCAGGACTTGAACAAACACACAGACACAAATAGTCATCGATTCCCTGGGTAGGTTTTTTTGAATTAAACAGGGCTGCGCGTGGCCCTGGAACGCTTCGGCGACGGAGGTGGGCCCCAGCCACGAGGAGTCACTGCCCTTTCTTCTGAGCGCCAGCCACAGCAAGCCTGCAGACGGTGGGCCCTCTCCATGCCTCTGTGCGCTTCACTTCGGCTTCGGCGTGAACCGCCGGCGCACCGTGAGGCGCCTTCGGGCCAGCTTCCCCGAGTCGGGCTTCCCGCTCGCACGGGTGCTCCCTTCCCCCTCTGAGCGTCAGTGCACAGTCTGGCTGCGAGGCCTTGAAAGCAGCAGCATTGAGTTCACGTTGAGCGCATTTTTGGTGCCGCTCGCCACGCAAGGGACCCTGTCCGGCGCCGTGCTCCCGTCCGTTCTGTCCAGCTCGATCTCGCTACCGACCTTGTCAAGGTTGAGGAGGAGAAGGAGGTGCCAGGGAGAGGAGCATCCTAGCGTAAGTGGGATGGTGGCGTCATGGATCCGTTCTTGCAGATTGCTGGATTGACGAATTGATTAGTGCCAGGCCTTGCCCGGGCGACCTGGCGGAGCGGTACAGAGCACAGCCCGTCGAGTCGGAGTTGTCTGGCGTTTCAGCACTTCGCCGGTTTGCCACGTGGGGTGAGCAAGCCGACGGGGATTGAACAAGGTCTTGCCGCAAAACTTCCTCGGCCAGTGTGTCCTGAATCCCTGATTGTGAAGGCCTGACGGCCCGTGCCGCCGACCCTGAAGAGGACGACGACGACGTCGGCGACGAAGTGGGCGGAGACGGAGGCCGTGGAATATGAGGAGGATGAGGAGGACGAGGCGAGGAGGAGGGGGAGGATGAGGAGCAGGAGGAGGAGGAGGAGGAGGAGGAGGACGAGGCCCCACGAGAATCCCAAGAGGTCGCACGATGCGTTTTGAACTGCCCCGGAGGATCCCACGAGGCCTTTAGGATGCCGCCCAAGAGCGCCCGGAGAGGGCAAAATCGTTGATTTGCATGTATTTGTTCAATGTTTTTTTGCATTCTCGCTGTTTCGTGTTTCCGGCGTTAAAGCAACGCCCCAGAGGCTCCCCAAACCGCTCCAAGACGGCCCAAGAGGCCCACAAGA